TGACTCCTCCCATTGTCTTGGAAGGAGTGAAGGACAGAACCACAATATCACTTTCCTCTTTGTTCTTGGCCCAGTGTTAGGAACACAGATAGGATCTGAAATTCTGTGGAAGGAATAAGTGAATAATAGTGACTCATGTGATGCTCTTCCCCCTCTAAGTATAGCCTGAAAGTTCCTTCAGCTACTGGTCCCAGGCCTGCCACAAGTAATGGAGTACTGGGTCCCAGGAGACGTTCAGTCAGAATTTAAATGAATAATCACCTCTCCCTCTGGATGCTTCCACATCCTTAGGCTTCCTCTGACCGAAGAACTATCCATCTCTCGTCCTGGTATAGACAATCCCAAGTCTTAAGGGAGCGAGTGCTGCTTGGGGAGACCCCAGAGCTGCTACAGTGAACTTAGACCATAGTTGTAGAGAATCCTCTGGAACACAATCTGCAGAAGAACAGTTGATGAGCTTCAGGAGCCCCTGTAATGACTCAGAACAGGAAGTTGTTGAGTTGTCTTTGAACATGACCTCGTATAGTTGTCCATGTGGCACTTCCCTTTGTGAATTGCTGAGCCCGCGTTTGCTTCTCACAACTGGTCCCATTTGCCTAAAATTGAATATCGATCGAGTAACCCAGAAGGCCTGAGGCTCCAGACAGAGCAGTGTGTAGTAATAATGTTTACTTTTGTATCATATTTCAGTGGTCAAAATTTGCCTCTAATACATTCTTTGGTGGTAAAGAGCATTATCCAATTTCTGGTTTTCTCTCCACTTTTGAGAGTAGCAAGGCAGAAGTTGGAGGTAAGGGGCAGAGGGCTTTCCAAGCAGATATTTGAGCTGCGTTGATACCAGCATCTTTGTTTCGGCTCCATGGAGGCTGTGCCTGCTCCAAAGCATTTGTCCACCGTGGCTTTGTGGGCAGTGGTGTGAGCAGAAGGCTTCCCTTGGTGGGGTCCTCTCTCGTGTTGGGACTGCTTTCTGCTTCAGAAGAGCTATGCTGGCACTAAGGTCAGGATCTTCTCAGGCAAAGACTGTTTCTCTAATTCAAAATGCAGATACCATTCTACACAGAACAGCGTAGGGGTGCTGTAGCAGAAAGGGCTTACCATTGACCATTTAAAAATAAGGAAAGGGTGGTGGCTGATCTGCATTCTGTGCAAGTCAGAAAACATGGCAAAGCTGCAGACTACATTGAAGTCATTTATTCATTGAAGTCATAAATGTTTGCTGAGTGCCTACTGTTTATGCGACCGAGGCTAGGCACTTGAATTACAGTGATGAATAAGACAATATCCCTGTCAAAGAGCTCTTGTTACTTTGTTTCTTCTGTTTCTTTGTCACTAATGTTGTGGCCCCACCCCATAACAAAGAAACAGAATTTCCGGAGGATGGGGCCCAGAAATCAGGATTTTAAAAAGATTCCCAGGTGATTCTAATGTGCAGCCAAGGTTGAGAATCACTGCCCTAGATGGAAGTAATGAACTGCACTTGCAAATAGGAGACATGAATGAGCAACTCTGTGTGCCGAAGGCCGGAGCATTGAGCGTCTGAGGGGCTGTGGGCCCTGATGAAGGTTGGTGTGGGGCCTGTGAGAACTTCAGGGAGGGCAGTGCCCACCACGGTTGCCTTTGTGCCTCTTCTCCAGGTACTGTGATGGGCGCCCAGGGGTCTGACCTGCTCCCCCACCCCCGCGTACTGTTTGGATAAGCTGTCCACTCAAATCACCCTGAGATGATCCAGTGCCACGACGTTGCAAAGAACCCATTTTTAGAAGATTTGCAACAGAACATGGTCAAAGAGATAGGAACTGTGGGACTCTTTGGGAGGGTTGCTGTGTTTTTAATGAAGGTGACACACTGCCTTTCAAACCAAGTAATTAAAGAAAAACCAGCTGCACCGGCTTTCCCAGGGACTAGACCCTTAAAATTCTTGTGACAGAGGAGAGTGCTTGGGGGGAAATAGAGACACATAAATATCTAAGGAAGCCCTTCAAATTTGAAAAATTGGGAAATTTTAAAGGCATTAAATTCTTATGAAGACTTTACTACATTAATTTCGAGTAGGCTAAACATAGAGCTAACTCAGCAAGTACCCACCACTCTCCTGGGTGCCGAGTGAAAAATGCTGTGTTCCTTTTTAAAGGCACGCAAGGCTGTTTTCTTGCACCCCGTGCCTCAGGGCCTGGCGTGCTTTATGTCTGCTGTTTCCCTTGGCTTTTCTGCACAGCAGCTGCTTTCTGCATGTGAATGTCTTAGAGACTCAGTGATCCTCACCTCCCTGCTCAGAATCAGGAACATGGGCTCATGGGAAATAAATCCACGTCTCCTAGCAATAGGCTGGGACCATACAACATCTCAGCGTGAAGAATTCTGCATTTCATCGCATCCTCTTTCAACCCATTTGGTGCCTCTGTGTTTCTTGTAATTCAGACTTTTGGGAAAAGATTTCGTATTTTTATGATTTCCCATACTGCTTGCTCACCGAGGTCCCTCTTATTTTTTAATGTGTCCCCTTCCCTCCTCAGCACCACTGCTTTATGGGACATTCTCGCTTTTCACACAGAGGTATTTTACTGCTGTCTGCGCCTCGGCTTCCCCTAGGGGGCCAGTGCCATGATATCGGGTGAGATTCAAGCAACCATTGCTTCCTTTTCCCAGGACGTACCTCCCCTGTCCACAACCCCACGGTTCCTCAGAGGATAGATGTTGTGTGGGTTCCGTTTTATGTCCTCTATCAAACATGACCAACAAACTGTGAAGCAGAGCATTCTTGCTCTCAGAGGACCATCGCTACAGAATTCATAAGCATCTGTGGCTCACCTGGAGATTCCCTTCATCTCCCAAGGTTTCGGGAGCAGACAGAAAGGTTCAAGGATCGGCTAGGGAGGAACTTCAGAGCCTGGGTTAGTCCCATTCCTGCTTGCTTGCTTCGGTCATTTATTCAGCACGTATGTATGGAGCACGTGCTGTGTGTCAGGCACTGGCCTGGCGCTTCAGGCTTCCAGGCGGGTCCGCCTGTGTCAGGAGGCCGAGCCCGTCACCTGAGCCCGTCACACACTGATGGGGGCCATGCTGCCCGATCCTGTTTTCAAGCCTTATTTTGTTCATTAAAGATTTTTAAAAATTTTAAGTCATTGTTGACATAGAATATTATCTTAGTTTCGGTGTCTAACGTAACGATGCAACATGCATATGCTTTCCGAAGTGATCACCACAGTAAGTCTAGTAACCACCTGTAATCATACCTAGTTCTTCCAGTATTACTGATGACACTCCCTGTGCTGTACACTCTATCCCAGTGGCTTATCTTATAAATGAAAGTTTGTATTTCCTAATCCCCTTTCCCTGTTCCACCCGTCACCCTACCTTCCTCCCCTCTGGCAACCATCAGTTTGTTCTCTGTCTGTGAGTTTGTTTCTGTTTCATTTTGTTTGTTCATTTGTTTTTTAGACTTCACATATAAGTGAAATCATATATATGGTATTTGTCTTTCTCTGTCTGACATTTCATTTAGCCTCATACCCTCTAGGCTCATTAATTTTGTCACAAATACCAACATTTCATTCTTTTTTATGGCTGAGTATCATATCATTGTGTGTATGTATATGTATGTGTATATGTATATGTGTATATGTATATGTATGTGTATGTGTATATGTATATGTATGTGTATATGTATATGTATGTGTATATGTATGTGTATGTGTATATGTATGTGTATATGTATGTGTGTATATGTATGTGTATATGTATGTGTATATGTGTATATGTATGTGTATCTGTATGTGTATGTGTATATATATGTGTATGTGTATATGTATGTGTATATGTGTATATGTATGTGTATCTGTATGTGTATGTGTATATATATGTGTATATGTATATGTATGTGTATATGTATGTGTATATGTATGTGTATGTGTATATGTATGTGTATATGTATATGTATATGTATGTGTATGTGTATGTATATATATGTGTATGTGTATATGTATATGTATATATGTGTGTATGTGTATGTGTATGTGTATATGTATGTGTATGTGTATATGTATGTGTATGTGTATATGTATGTGTATATGTATATGTGTGTATATGTGTATATGTATGTGTATGTGTATCTGTATATGTATATGTATGTGTATATGTATATGTATGTGTATGTGTATATGTATGTGTATGTGTATATGTATATGTGTATATGTATATGTATGTGTATGTGTATATGTATATGTATCACATCGTCTTGAGCCACTCGTCTATGGATGACACGTAGTTGCTGCCATACCTTGGCTACTATAGTCAGTGCTGCAGTGAACATGGGGGTGCAGATATCTTTTCGAATTCATGTTGTTGTTTTTTTCCTTTGGATAAATACTAGAAGTGGAATTGCTTTAAATATATCTCTTAACAGAATGTTTGGACTTTTCTAAGGACAGCCAAGATAATGCTGTTTGGATGCTGAAATTTCTCTGAATTTTCAGTGGTTTAAGTCACAAAAGATATTTGAAATCTGAACTGACTAGGAAAATACAGGTGGTGCAGTTTCCGGTCATCAAAGTCAATCCCAGCTGCCTCTTTAAAAATACATGCTCTAATTTTCCTTTTTTTCACTCAAATCTTCTTGAGCAGGTGATCTTCTCCGACGTTTAGTACCCAAAGTCTTCGTGTCCTTCAGTAAGAAAAAATTTTAAAGCACAAACGTGTGTATTGGCTTTTTCATCTAGAACTTTAAGTTTGCCTTTCAAATCTTGCTGTGTTTAATTAACACTTGGCCTGAAGGGGCTGGGGGAGCTGAGCTCTAAGGGCCCCTTTGAAAACATGGCAGGAATTTAAAGGAAAGCCGGGCAAACCCAGGCCTGTTATATACATTTGGCAAGTCCTTTCCAAAGCTTTCTCCCCACCCGAATGCCGGGTGGGTGGTGCGCAGCTGTCTCCCCCGTCCCTCCCTGCAGGCCGGGCGCTCCCCAGCCCCTCGGGTTCTCACTGTGTTGTTCCCTTGCCTCTTCCAGTCTCCCTCTCCGGGCAGCTCCTCGCCCCTGGGCGCAAAGTCTTCAAGCACACCCCTTCATCCCAGTGACCCCGCGGAAGGTTCCGCAAACAAAGAGGTAGGGTGCCGCTTCCTTTCAAAAGCCTCCAGCCCTTTGTCCTCCATCCTGATCCTGGCCTGTGCCTTCTCCAGCCTCCCACAGAGCTTCTGTCCCCAGGGATCCTGGGAAGAAACTCTATTTTCTCCTCTCCAGTGTGGATAGGGCTACCAGTTGGGTAGCCAGTAGCCACAGCTGTCTGTTTTCACTGAGAAATGAAATAAACTCGCTCCCCAGGCACACTAGCCATAGTTCAAGTGCTCAGTAGCCACACGTGACTAGTGGCCACCGTGTTGGGCCGGGGAGATTGTGGGACGTTCCCACCAGTGGACAGTGCTGGGCATCCGCGAGTCTCTGTGGCAGCATCCTCCCTCGTGGGCTGACAACACTCTGTGGTTTGGGTTGTGGGTTGATTTTTTTTTCCGGCCCAAGTGAAATCTCTTTCATGATGACAGGGTGACCACTTGTCCTGGTTTAGCTGCGATGGTTCCAGTTCACACCTGCTGTCCCACTGCTCACCTGGTGAGCACCCTGCTCACTCCCGAAAGCAGTGCCGTTCAGAGGCCCGGCCGCAGCCCCGGGAATGTTCCGCTCTGTCCTGTCCCCCGGGGGAGTCACCAGCCATGTGTGACTAGCACGCCCTTGACACGTGGCTGGCGGGGCTGAGGACCTGACTTTGTCATTTTATTCCGTTTCAGTGAACTCACATAGCCACGTGCGGTGAGGGGCTCCTGGACACTGCAGCCTCTAGTGTCCCTTTGGACAATAAATCATACTGTCGCCTGCTGAGGGAGGCCAAACGGAGCTCTGGTGGGGAACATGTAAGCAAGACGATGTTGCTTGCTCCCACTGAGGTTCCTAGGGCTAAAAGGGCAGGTGTTTCCCTGAGGGGCGCCACTGCCTTCCCCAGCACCATCTTCTTTTGACACCCAGCTGACTGGCACCCCCACCCCCTGGGAAGCCAGCATCAGGTGAAGACTGGCCTGCGTCACAGTCTGTGTGTGGGCCCAGCTGGCTCTAACTGTAGAGGCGCCTCGTCCGCACCGAGGGTATGCATTGGGGAGGTTAAACCACAGAATGAAGGGTTGTTTCCCTTTCCCTCCTCTTGCTATAATTTTATGTTAAATTTTAACGTGAGTGGCAGATCACTTCCAAAGGGAGCCTTAGTTGAAATTTACCTTTAAAGTATCATCAAATACATATGCATTTTCCAATAAATATTCATTCAGGGGAGAAGTATATTTTTTTATTAATCTGTTCATATAAACAGGGGCAGGAACCTTTTTTTTTTACTGCCAGGGGCCATTTGGATATTTATAACATCATTTGAAGGCCATACAAAATTATCAACTTAAAAATTAGCTGCTATATTTGGTCAAACACTTAATTAACTCACCCCTAATGCCCTGGCAGGGCCAGACCAAATGATCTCACCAGCCTTATATGGCCCACGGGCTAGACGTTCCCCACCCCTGATATAAATCAAACAAACATTAGAATTTAGATTTGAAATATCTTTTGTCCTCCTCTGGTCTTGATCCTTAGCCCATAAGGCCTAAGGACTAAAGGGACAGTTTCTGCTGCCCCTACATCTCATAGCTTTGCCTTATATTTTATTCAGAGCACACGCAGAGGTGAGAACAAATGACAAAAAGGAAAGAGTGACAGTCACAATGCAAATAAAAACAGCATGAGCATTTACAGTGTTCAGGTACCAGGCCAAGCAATCACAGATAGCATCTCACTTAATCCTTAAAATAATTCCATGAGGCAGGACTTATTGTCCTTTTGTGTTAGTTAAGGAAGCTGAGAGGTTGGATAATTTACCTGAGGTCCCGGGGTTCACAGCTGGTGGGACCAGATTTGAACCCAGGGTGCCTGTGGGCTCAGGCTCCTAACATCAGGATCTGCTGTCCTTGCGGGGAAAAGTGCTTGCAGGTTGCACACTGCATGGAAAGGTGGCTCGGATGCCATGATTCCAGTTGTCAGGCCTCCAGGATCTGCACATGGTTAGTGTGGCCTGGAAAACCCCAGAGAGTTTGGCCTTTATCTTCTTGACTGTGGTTTTATTAATTTTTTGCATGTTAAGGATTAACTACTGTTCATCTCTGCCCCCATAGGAGAAAATAAAGGGCTAATCAGACTTCTGAATAGTCAGTATTTGATTATTCATCAGCTAGAATAAGCAAGGCAAATTTGTTAGTTTCTCAGTTCCTATAGGACTTGGCACATGTTTCTACAGATCCTTAGGAATAATGATGAAAATGCTCTTTGTGTGCCATAATTAGAGATTCTTTCATTTCACAAAACTCTTTTAAAAAAATTACTACCCCCGAGACTAAAGAAAGCCAGTCATGAGCTCATGAATAGAGAATAAGCAAATGTAGCAAATGCCCTCCATTGTGGCTCTAAATAAAACGGCAGTTTTTAGAGCTTTAGACTGAAGTCCTTCTTCTGTAGTTTCTACTAAAATCTGGACACTGTCCTTGAGATTGGCATTCAGTAAAGTACCCTGAATAGCCCAAGAAAATCGGAATTGGCTTCTTGGAGCTACCTGGAGGCTTAAGCATTTTGATTAAACAAAATCAACCTTTATTACCCCCAGACCCTTAGCAGCTGAAGACAAGGACAGGGAGATGGTTGGGGAATAATAATTTGGAAATCTTTGGCCCTTCTGAAGACGCCAGCTTCCATCTGCATGCCCCGAAGTTAAGGATCGTGTTTCTTTAAACCGCAGAAATAGACAGACGTGGCTGCCGGCACTCACCTGGGCCTGTCGCCTCACTTGGATAAATAGAAAGTAAAAGTAATGTAAAGCACTGTTGAACTTGGATTTCCCTTTCCTCCTGTCCCGATTCCTTGGCTCTCACTTGATATGCATTTTTCCATAAATGTGTTAGCAGCCAATAACCTTTTATTCCTGGTGGACTTGTGACTTTAGTCTCTTTAAAGGTGATCCTTTCTGAACCAGAAACCCACCCTCTTTGGTGTGAGGAAGCATTTCATCCCAGTGGGCACATCAGCAGCAGATTGCTCTTCGCAGTGTATTGCGTGATTAGTGTTACATTCTTGTCATTGTCCTGAATTGAGTTAGATCCCTAAAATTACGTGTCTTCAATTACCTGCAGTTTTCCACATAACAAATAACACTACTACTTTGTAGAATTTTGTGCAAATCAACTAATCATTCCTTTGCCGTTCCTGAAATCTTTCAAGTGAAGATCACTGTATACAGCCCCATGATATGGAATTGTTTCCCATGACATCCCAGCCCTCATGCAGGCCCTTCACCCTTCCAGCCCACCAGGCACCGCAAAGTATACCCTCAATTAAGTCAACCTGTTGAGCAACTATGCTCTACTAGACACCCTTTTCCTAAAATGTACATATTTAAAAGGTCACCTAACAACTAGTAGAGTCTTAGCAATGAAAACCTTTAGGTTTTCTGAGCTTAACCCTTGGCCATGCAAACCCTACTTTTGCCCGTTTTAGGGACTCTTGCCTTTGACATTAGCTCTCCACTCTCCTGCAATGCTCACCTCATCCTGCCCCAGACAGATCAGGGATGAATTTCCTACTCTGGTGCCACTCAGAGTTCTCTCTAGGACATTCACTTATGCAAGGAACCAAAGGGTAAGTAACGCTCCCGTGAGAGCCAGCATTTACACTGCTGTCCAGTCAGGTTCTGGAAGGTTTCTGGTTGAAACAAGGGTGCTATTGGAAAACTGACCTTTGCTCCGAGTTGCACTTAATATACAAAATTCCAAGGCCTTTAATTTGCTCCTTTGTTTGTTGTGTGCTTATTTTAAAGTAACACATGATAATGACATATATAGTGAAATTTTTAGACTAAAATAAATCAGTAAGAGATGAAAGGAAGAGATAAAAACTCTAGCAAATGTTTTTAGCACAGGGAGAGATCCCTGCAGCAAAGACCTAACATGAAATAAAATTCTCCAAGGAAATTTTTAATTTCAGCATATAATGATGTTGGTTCTTTCATTAACCAGCAGTTCTTACTTAGAAGCCGAGATTCTTAAGAATACAAATCAAGCCCTTTTTATTGCGATTGTGGATTATAAATTTTGGTTTGTGGGATATTTTTTAAGCTGACAGACATCTGATTGTGGAATGTAGGATTTTCAAATTATCTAATTAATATATGAGTGGATGGTTCTGGAGTCTGGGTAACCTTTAATAAGAAATATGTGTGTTTATTTACACTTTACTTTCTGTAACCAAGAATGGTTGACAACTGGTTAATATCTGACACTGATGATGTATTTGTATTTTATGCTACATGGATGGTTGTATTAATGCATTTTTCATCATGCTTTGCCCTTTTTGAAACTTCTTTGTCTTAATTACAGTCAAGAAAAAGCTTGGCTTCGTTCCCAACCTACGTTGAAGGTAAGAGCTAAAAGGAGATACTGAGCACTGAGTCATTCATGAATCTTTTAGCACTTGGGGCATTGGAAACACTGGGCTGGAAGACGATAGTGGAGGAGAAAGCCCACAGAGCCAGTTAACTCACAGTCTTCACAGCCTTAGAATCTTAGACTAAAAGCACAGTAGCTGTGAGCCTCTCAGACCTCCTCCTCCCTGCCTTTGCTGATTCTGTCCATGGAACCTGAGCCAGGGGGTAGGGCAGGGGTGGGCAAACTTCCATGGAACCTGAGCCAGGGGGTAGGGGCTTTGCCCAGCTTAGTAATGATCACATTGGATTTGAAACCCAAGTCTTCCCACCTCTATTCCAGTACACCTTACACTCACCAAGGGCTATTTAAGTGGGAATAAGCTTTAGCTAACGGGGAGAAATTTTGTCCTCTTAAGAAAAAAACACAAAAACAAACCCCAAAACCTGCCTAATAATCCCCATCTCTTGCTTGGATGAGTGAGTAAAAGAAACGTTAAGGGCTTACTCTTTTCCAGGTGCTGTTCTAAGCACTTTTCATGTAATAACTCATTGAATCCTCACACTGATCTTGTGCAGGGGTTTTATCATGATCCCCGTGTTATGTATGAGGGCTGAGGCATCGAAGGGGGGGCAACTTTCCCGAGATCACACCGTTAGCAAGTAGCAGAGCCAGGCTGTCAGCCAGCAGTCTGACTGCACGGTTCTCCCTGTGCTCTCTGCAGCTGCCACGGTGGTCGTGCGGTTATTCACTGCACAAGCAGCCTAGTAGGGCCCAAACTCTGCCCGGCCTGGCCACCCCAGGTTGAGGTCAGGCCACACAGAGTGCCCATTTCTTATCCACACAAAGACACCCCAAGCGAGAGATGACACTGACCTGTACCAGGAGGAGGGCGGTTGCTTTCTCGGGTAGGGTGGGTTGTCATTTCCTTGAGGGAGGATTTTCTGGGGCCTGAGCATGCTCAGGCGTTACTTTGGGGTCATGGCTGGTCTCTGGATCCTGCGAGTAAACAACCAGTGTGTCCTACTGCCTGGGCACGAAACTCTCTGAACCTTCAGGTCTGAAGCCCAGAACGTGCTCCTGGGGTAGGGTCAGTGACTCAGGTCCCATTCCCAGGTAACCTATGAGTTCTCTGTGCCGTTGTTGTCAAGCTCCACATTCTAGGAGAGCAGCTTGGGGAGGGATAGGAAGTTTGGAAACTGCTTTCTTCTTCATCGCCTGTGCTCAGGCTTAGCATTAACATGAGGTGAGGAGATACATATACACTGAGTGGCCAGATTATTGTGACCACCTGTTGTTTGTAGCCAAATTAGCTATAATTTCGCACTGAAGTTGCTAGAGGGCCAGATCATTATAAACGTCTGAATAGCACAACATACCTAAGTATCGTTGCTGATCAAGTTCATTCTGTCATGTTGATGGTGTATCCCAGTGGAGATGGCTTCTTCCAACAAGACAATGCGCCATGCCACGGTGCTCGTATTGTGCAGGAGTGGTTTCAAGAACATGAGGGAGACTTTACCTTGCTTAGGTGGCCCCCACAATCACCAGATCTCAATCCAATTGAGCATTTGTGGGACGAAGTTAAAAGAGCCATCAGGCAGCTGGTTCCACAACCATCAAATCTCACAGAACTGGACAGTGCTATTCATCAGGCATGGTGTCAGATTCCTCGCATTACCTTTCAACATCTCGTGGAGTCAGTGCCAAGAATCGCCGCAGTATTGAAGGCAAAAGGTGGCCCAACGAAGTACTGATGGGGTGGTCATAATAATCTGGCCACTCAGTGTATAGTGTGTGTGTGTGTGTGTGTGTGTGTGTGTGTGTGTATGTGTGTGTAGTGTGCTTGCTCACGTCCAGAGCAACACAAAGGCATCACTGAAAAGAAAAACACATTCCAAAAAACCAAAATGAACCCTGTGATTCTTTGACGTAGGAACATTATAACTTTTGTTTTTTAATAACACACTAAGCCTAAAATGAACTTATGAAATTAGGGTGCTTTTTTTGCCGAGTATGATAGAGTGACAGTGGCATTTGATTATAATCAGTTTCCCTGGAGGATAAAAGGCATGAGATTATATCTGGAATGCATAATTTGTTTAGACCCAATATTTCTGTCTCCTGGCTGCTTGACATTTACACAGTCATTTAAATATTATTTGGATTGCTCTTAAACACATCTGCATATCCACACTTACGAGGCCTCAAGAGGAAGCCTTTCAGTGAGTATAGCTAAGACAGAGATGACTATAGTATGGCATTGGAAGTCCCATAGAGAGGTGGTTCATTTTTCTTTTTCTTTGACATTCGCTATTTTCACAAGTGAATATTTTTTAAAGTGACTATCCCAGATGAGATCTTTTTTCTCAGTGCCTCGTTGACAAAAGTGACTGTGTTTCAGGAACGTCGTACATGCATCACAGGAGTTTGTCATGGAAGACTGATCATCTTCTACATTTTACAAAACACAGTGTGGGTCCAAACTTGTCCTTACGTTATTTTAGTTAGACTCCTGCTTCCCTGCTGTACAACTCAACTGTATATTGTAAATAACCTGAATTCGTCCCACATCCATCAAAGTTTCAGGGTAAGGAGCATATGGTTGTTGAGAAGAATGGAAATTACCAGTATGGCTGGGTACCACCCAGTGTTTGCCTAGAAGTCTTTCCCAGAAAGATCGAGAATAAGACAAATAACAGGTTTCCTTATTTAATTACTACACAGACACTTTGTGAAGGCATTTCCTGAAACATTGTTAATTCCTTTGTTTCAACCACCACCTTGGTTTTAGAAAAAATGAATACATTATTTTAGGTCTGCCCCCTGATAAGTAGCTTATCATGGGAAGTGGCTGTTTAAGCTCAAGATGAGCTTCATCTTGAAGGATAAAAATTAAAACCATCTCAGATTAGCTCTCCAAACGGAAAGAGCAAATTGTTTCCATTTCAAGCTATCTAATTTAAGACCTGGAGGTTTTAACTGTGGGTTACAATGTATATTTTAGTCTCCCCAAATACAGCCTTCAAGCCAAAGAAAATACATGTTTTCATTGCAGCATTAGAATGCCTTGTTAGTGCATCTGTTATAGAGTTCGTTATATATTAGTCCCAGACGTGTTTTAACTTCAAATAACATTTACAGCAGATTATGGTTAGAGTCAGATACCTCCATTTTAATTATTTAAAACTAAGGTTGGATTTTTTTTCTAAAATATATCTTTATTGATTCCAGAGAGAGGAAAGGGAGAGGAAGAGAGAGAAACATCAATGATGAGAGAGAACCATTGATCGGCTGCCTTCTGCACACCCCCTACTGGGGATCGAGCCCACAACCCAGGCATGTGCCCTGATCAGGACTCGAACCCTGAGCTCCTGGTTCATGGGCCATTGCTTAACCACTGAGCAACACTGGCCGGGCTAAGGTTTGAATTAAAAAGCTGATCAATGAAACAAATTCCCATTTTCCCTGGAACTGATCTGTATGCAGATGCAGGCCAGGAACTTATGGCCTATAAGGCAGCATGAGATGGCAGCTTCGGAGTAATGTTAGCTGCCTCCCAAAATTGGGATTAGAGGCTATTATGGGAACCAAACATTCTGAAACAAATATCTCAATTTTTTTATTTATAAAATTTACTTCCCCCATTATAGATAAAATGGAGAGGGGAGATAGGGATCAGTAGCAAGTCAAGGAACTGCTTATTTATTTGATACCCCCTGGGTAACAGGTGCTGGCCAGACACAAGAGAGCCAAAGATGACATAGTCCTTGTCCCCAAAGAGCTTACAGTGTGACAGGAGAAACAGTAGCCTTCATGAAACGTTTCATGTCCTGTATTTACATAAATCTGCACATCATTTCTCACAGTAAATCGTCTGGGTGAAGTAAGTGACTATAAGAAAAAAATTGTTCCCGTTATTTGAAGATGAGGGGTGAGTGGAGGCAGATAGGGGTCCCTTAGACTGCTCAGGGCCCTCAGGACCGGCCCCCTGGGCCAGAGGTGAGCAGTGGGGAGGGGTGTATGCAGGGGTTGGGCAGGCCCACCCCAGAGTGGCGTCACTCACCAAAGTGGCTCTGTGTGTTACAGTTCCCGGACCTTGTGACCCTGAAGACTTAATTGATGGAATCATTTTTGCTGCCAATTACCTTGGCTCTACCCAGCTGCTCTCCGACAAAACTCCCTCCAAAAACGTGCGCATGATGCAGGCCCAGGAAGCGGTGAGCAGGATCAAGGTGAGGGGGAACGTGGGCTCTGCGGGGGTGGGGGGCAGCGGCGGGTACCTGAGCCGTCTGCAGTGGTCACCCCACACCTCACTGACTAGTCCTGAGGGTAGAGGAGAGTGGATTGGGGTGATGTTGCAGGCAGTGCTTACACATGTTCCTGCTACAGTTCTAAACAGAAAAAATGATTTCTGAAGTGGACTGCAGTCCTTATATGGAAGCACTGTGTATTTGGGTTGTTCTTCATGGCCACTCTGGAGAAAAAGCATACATACGATCCTGAACTTTCAGAAGTTGACTTGACAAGGGCAGATATCGTGCGGAGTGTTACCTCGAACGTGAGGGTTCTATTCCTGTATTTCCACTGACAGCGTGGTTCAAACTAGGTCCTTTGCCTTGGAACCTGCTGGTCCTGCTCAAACTCAATTGAACTGGTTTGCTTCCAGGGAAGTGAACCCTTTGATCAGATCTAGCCTGGCCAGCCTGAGCAAGTCTGAGCAAGGCCAGCCCCGTCATAACCTGCTTGCATCTGTTCCACCGAGATGGACAAGGAGCGAGCCTGTGTTGTTCAGGAAGAACCACTTCCATCCGGTTTAAATCATTCACAACCGGTTTGAACCAGCCAGACTGGTGTGAGCCCATGGAAACACAGAGCTCTCAAATCTCCACCCCGAGGCCAGACACACCTCAGGTCTACGGAGACACTTACCGTGTCTTCACGTCACTCCAGTGTCCTCAGGGGCCGCCCGCACCCAGAGCCGCTGGGCAGCCACGCTGGCACCACAGGGAGGGCCTCCCTGTGGACACCAGAATCAGGCATGTCAAGCAAGAGGGACTAGGTTAGGGCGCTCCAGGGTTGGTTGTATCCAGTTCCAACTGGTCAAAATCAATTCTCACCTCAAGGAGCCATTCACGTTTTTATAGCTTCTCGCTCACACACTCACAAGTCTCACCCTGGTGTTGGTGTGACAGCGTGGAATGAGAAAGCATGGGGAGAAGGCAAGCGCTGAGAGTCCTTGATTCTCACTTAAGGACAAAATACTTCTTGAGCATCCGGGTGTTCAAGGCTGTGCGGGGGCTCTGGAGGGAGGGAAATGGCGATTTAGACAGTGAGCGCGTGACCCTCAAACTCAGCAGCACAAATGAGAAATGAACTGAGTCAGCGATGTATCCATCGTTGTAGAGGAAACCCTTGCTGCAGCTTTGGATAATATTACTCGGGTTTTGGGAATTGGGATGTATAAACGAGAGAGTAATTTACAGTAGCCCAATGTCAAAGTCACTGACAGTTTCACCCGTGTGTCAGGGACCCACTTCACCACTTCGTCTGGGCAGCCCAAACCTTGTCTGTGTCCTAGAGACCCTGCGACCACCAGGCCCACTTCCAAGGTTTCCGTTTTTTCTCCCATAATCAGCCTTTCCCAGGATGATTGACAGTAGGAAGGTCCACTGCCTTCAAAGGAAGTCCCACCACCTACCCACAGAGGTGCCTCTTGCCCCAGGATTCCCAGCAGGACAGCTCCATGAAAACGTGTCTGCCTGACCTTCAGACCTTCATGGTCTTTCAGACTCAGTAATTCTATCAGTAGAACATCGGGTTCCTGTTGAGCTGCCCAGCCAAGCCTGGCCTGATTTCTTTCCACTGTCACCCCTTCTCATAGAGGGGTGACATCAATACTGCCAGATGCTCCCACAGTTCTTCATCTAGGATCTCCCAGGCACAGCCTTCAAAGCAAGAACACAAAGCTCTCTGAGAGAACATGCTGTGTCTCAGGCTTATTTCACCCAGAGCAGGGAACTTGGAAAACTAAATCTTCAGGGTCATAGTTCTGACTCCTCATGTCCCACAGTCACCAGGCACAGCATGTTATGATTTTGTTGAATTAACACTTGTTAAGTAGAGCCCTGGAGTGCCAGATGGTGAGCAGAAGACCACAAGAGAAATTAAAATCAAGAAGTTATTGCTCACAGGTCCTGGAGGAAGGCCTAGAGGGGCCGTGCAGGGAGGTCATGGCAAGGAGAGGCGGAGAGGGACCTGGGAGCTGGGCCTTATTAGGATCCGTGGGTGGGGTGCTTGGGGTTCCTGAGCTAGGATGAGATTGGTCAACTCACACCAAAGGAGTCAGGATTCGGTCAGCTCCTCAGGGGTCTTATCTAAGGGGACAGACGGGGAGGGCCCTGGAGTGAGGAAGACTGTTGATCAAGGGCTGTTGGGGGAGTCATGTTAGGAGCTGACTTTTGCCCGCGCCTGTGTGGGCTGTTATTATCTAGGGAATGTGCCTGCATGAGGGGACTAGTGTCCTTTCAAAGTCACTGCAGACCTCTTGGCCAAACAAAAGAGATGCTGAGGCAGCAGGACCACTGAGTAGCGTAGCTAAGCTCTCAACACAACACTTAGTTCCCCAGCCTAACAGTGCTGCCAGCTTCCGGGGGTCGATGGGAGTGCAGAGGCCTGGTGCGCCTTGCTCAGTGGTTCCAGACAGACAGGGACTGCCTTTCACAGGGGCGTTGGAGATGGGCGGGCACTTGGATTGCCACTGTGTCTGGGGCATTTGACTGGCTCTCATGGGTCAGAGGCAGAGATGCTCGATGCCCTGCGGTGTCCAGGATGGGGCCACACGCCAAAGGTGCATCTCCTCCAAAACGCCAGCGTGCCTCCCCCCGCACTCCCTGTCGGGGAACACTCCCAGGGCCCACTCAGCGAATCTTCCAGAACAAAGCCGCAGTCCATCCCCAAACGAGTACCGAAGACCCCTGAGACCGAAAGCTGTGTGTTGCTTTGAGATTAGTTTTTTCCTGGGTTCTGTCCATCAAGGTTTAAAACCTATGAAGGGTCGGGTTTCATTCTGGGCATGTTGTTTATTGGCCTCCTGGACTGATAGTCCTTGACTCCTACAGATAGGGTTTCTGTCTTTCCGCTGTGAGACAGACATGGTACTCGATGACCTGGAGGGGGAGCAGGCACAGGCACATCTCCCAGACATAAAGCAAGGCCCAGGGTAGACTGGGCATCCGGTACCAGATCCCACCCAGCGCCACACCTGCTATGAACCACAGACGCACCTCGTTTTATTGCACTTTGCTTCAGGTTTCACTGTTCATTTGCACAAAAAGTTAGGTGGCTTTGTCCATCGGAACAATCAGGATAGAGGCTGTCTGGTTATAAATCCACTTCAGACCTGCCTAGAGTAGCGTAGGCATCTAAAGGACATACATTTATTTCTCCAGCAAGTGACTCGAGTGTGAGGAATTCATCCCAGAGGGGTGAGGGTCGATGGTTACATTTCATGTATCGGTATCACTTCACAGTGTGCTGCTGTGCCTCTGAAGCAGTGGTTCTCAACCTTCTGGCCCTTTAAATACAGTTCCTCATGTTGTGACCCAGCCATAAAATTATTTTCATTGCTACTTCATAACTGTCATGTTGCTCCTGTTATGAATCGTAATGTAAATATCTGATATGCAGGATGGTCTTAGGTGACCCCTGTGAAAGGGTCGTTCGACTGCCAGAGGGGTCGCGACCCACAGGTTGAGAACCGCTGCTCTGAAGGAACTGTTGCCTCTCGTTTGTATTGTCTGCTCTGTGTTCCTTCTACATCCATTTAAATGCCCATCGGATTGCTTGCCTTTGCACCAAGCCTGACTCTTTCTCAGATTGTAAGTGGAGACGATTGCGTTCGGACCCGTAGTTTGTTTCTGCACCCTGCGGAAAGTTACCCTGGCGGGGGGGGCATGCCCTGCGCTGCTCACACGTGCCCAGGAGACACTCTGTCTAAGGGAGGTGGCGCCATGCTTTCTCCTAAAGAGAGGCTGACGTTTTGCTAGGCTACTTTTAGAGAAACAGAGAGCAGAGCAAGGCTGCAGATTTTACAGTGTCCATCCAGGAAGGAAGGGAGGAAGGAGAGCTCTGTGGATTTCTTTGGAAACCTATTTAGCAATATCCTCACCACAAGCTGGTGAGTAATTTCGGCCTTGGTGCTCTCCCCTAAACAGAGGCAGAGGAATTCCGTCCTCTGGTTTCCAGCTCCTCCTTCCTCCCTTCCTCCAGGGGAATCCCGTTGCCCCCTCTCTTTCCTCTGCCCATGTTCTCTCTTTGACCTGATGGATGTTTGTTGAGCGAATACTGGACCTGAAGCATAGGCTCCCATTTTGAAACAGTTTTTAATTTCTGACTGTTCATCAGTTGTGTCTGTCACTCACATTTTGAAACAGTTTTTAATTTCTGACTGTTCATCAGTTGTATCTGTCACTCACCTAGCACCAACTGTACACCAGCATTGAATATTGCTACTGGATTTACACCTGGACACATAAGAATTACGGTTTTCTTAATTTAACACAGAATTTACAGATGTATTTGCCAATGGGGAGAGAACTTGGAATTGTGGTTTAGCCGGGAATTTCCTACTTAATGTGAAGAGAGAACAGAGGAATTTGGCTAAAAAGCAAACTGTTCCAATGGTAGACTCGTAGGAGATAAAGTCAACCAAGATCCAGTCCTCGGCCCAGGGAAACGTGCAGTCTAAAGGGAGTAAAGAAGAGTGTCACAGTAACAACAATGCCAGGCAGGCCGAGGACTGGGAAACGGAAAGGCTTTTCCACCCACCAAAATATGCGAAGTGAGGTGCACCCAATGCAATAGCAGAATCAGAAGACCTCTACCATTCTTCTTACTTTTTTTTATCATCTTTAGAATCTCCCTAATGTATCCTTTCTGTCTTTGTTGTTCATCATTTTCTAGAGGAAATAATATCTTGGCAAGAAGCCCCCCTATAACTTAGGAATGCATTACAGCAATGGTTCTCAAAGTGGGACCCCTGGCCCAGCAGTACTTGTTGCAAATGCAGATTCTCAGGCTCCGCCATAGTCAGAAGCTGGTGAGGGTAAGGTCCAGGAGTCTGTGTATCCATAAGCCCTTCGGGAGGTCCTGATGTCCACTGACCATCCAGGGTTCCAGAGCATCTGTGTCCACCTGAGCTCTGTGGTGTCCCAGTCAAGCCGAGTGCTTCTCATTGACACGGTTCTGTTGGCAAATAAGCTCAAGAAATGCTGCAAAGTAGAACTCGTTGGAGATTTGCCACATCTGTTTTCCTATTGAAGGCTCTGAGACGTCCTGTACCAAGGAGGTTTAGTTCACTTTCCTTAACCAGAAGCTCCCATAGTTATTTGAACAGAGATGCAGTATCACTGTGTGATGCCTGTTAAATTAGTCTTGTTGCTAGGATTCTCTGGAACGCATTTTGGGAGAAACTTCTGGAAAGAACTTTGCTCTTTATGCTGTCTGTATCTAAAGTGCACTAAGTGGAGACCCTACACACACACACACACACACACACACACACACACACACACCACACAGACAGTGTGGGAATCATGCCTGAACCCTATCCAGTGTAGCCAGCTTCCTTGTCTTCCTCTCTCTCCACTCCATCTCTATGCCTCATTCCACTCCCATGCCCACTTTATTCTCTGCTCCTCAACGGAAGATGGGGGAGGGGGGCTACTGACCCCTGCTGAGCCTCAGTAATGGCTTCGTGTCCACGAAGAGTATGGTGTATATGTTTTCAGTCTTTCTACTTTTGTGAAGCTCGTGTGACTAAGTCACAAGTGGTGTTTTGACATTTTTTTTTTGGTCCATGCATTTTTGTAAGGATCATTCATTATCAGTTATCCCTATACCTGTAAAGACTAGCCTGTCCCCAAAGATCCGATTTTTCCATTGTTTTATAAAAAGATTTTCTTTAAATGTCAAAAATTGATGATTTAATTGTATAATTAAAATTTCTGTCCATCTAGCTTTGTCCCAACCATGTGGTTTCCCAGCTAACTTGAAGAAGTCTATGCATACATTATTTCATTTACTCCTCAAAATGGAGGGGTGGGGAATCCTGTGAGGTAGGTATTATTTAACCTCATTATTTTCCCCAGACAAACAGAGGAGTTTATAGATGAAAAACTTGCCCAGATCACACAACTAGCAATTTGGAGTGTATAGTGAGACTTCCAGGTTTGAATCTGTTTTGCCACTTAACAGCTGTGTGACCTTAGGCAGGTTAATTAGCCTCTCTGTGCCTCAGTTTCCTCTTCTGAAAGATGAGGATAATGTTGTGCCTACCTCACAGGGCTGCTGCCAGCTTTTACATTAATAGTCCTGCAGCACTTAGAAGGATACTATCAGCAGGGGGGGGGGAGCTTCAATAGTTGGGAGGAACCCTGGTGTGAATAAGCTAAAGGGACTTAACAACAGTTAACATTCCATACACATTGTGGATTGAGTGACTGAATGGACGGTGCCACTGTTTGTGTCCTTGCACACACCCTGCTGGGTGGTAAGCCACAATCAATCCCAGGAAACACAAGGATTTAAATGGATGTTGTCATTCTTGCTTTAAGATGCATGCTGGCCTTGTGGTTCTCTTAGACCTCTCTCTGCTACTCCAGTTTCTCATTCTGGCTCCGACCCCATCTGTCATTTCCACTGTTATGTCTAAATTTTACATTATAATTTGTTCCAGGGCACTTGAATATCATAAGTGATTTAAAGATGGCATTCCTCTAATAAGTGCATAAAATATTTTTTAACTTCATAAACCTTATTTCAGCGGGCTTTTCATGAAACTCAGTCTGCCATTTGGATCCTCTTCCTTATCACCAGTTCTAGCAAAAAAAACACCCCAAAAACAGAATTGGGGCATTCCATTGGTGGCAGACTTAATATCCTTTGAAAGGGCCCTTTCAGATCACTCTTCCCTAGAGTTAAGCATTTTGACCAATAGCTGTTAGGTTTTGGTATCAAAAAATAAGGGAAATGCTTATGTTACTGCCATTTCATTTCATTCCATATCCTATTATTTCAGGGAAAGTGGTAGAAAACAGACGAACATTAGGATCTCACAGTAGTCGTTTATCATTGCATGATAACTGGTGCAGGTCAGAACTTCCTGATTCCACAAAAGAAGCTGTGGTGTGACTAGCATCAATGTAGCATCAATATTTCTGCACTTCTCATGGGCGTCAGTTAGGGTAACACTTGCAGCTGCTGCCTTTAGACTTTTCCATAGCAGGCTCTTCACCAGGACCACCAGTAAGAGCTTGGGTGGCTGTGCAGCGTGGGCTGCCCTAGACTCCTGGGTGTGGCACAGATGAGCTATTTGGTGGGATGGCTGACTCGTCCAGTTTTCCACAGTGAGGTAGTACAGACAAGGCACCTTAGTCATTAATGAAATAAAGTTGTGCTGCTGAGAGCAAAAGAGCTTTCTACCAGGTGAGTACCAAGAATGTGAGAGAGCAGACCTTCTTCCACCCCACCCCATCACCACAACAGCGTTCTGGTTTGGCCATTGATTCACCATTATTCGTACAGGATCTTCGCATGTATAGCAAGCCCTATTGAAAGCCAAGAAATTGCATCCAGATATAGTTGAATTATAGTCATGTGACAGCAAACACAAATATCCTATATAATAGAAGGCTAATATGCAAATTGACTGGGTGGCGGAATGACTGGTCATTATGACACGCACTGACCACCAGGGGGCAGACGCTCAATGCAGGAGCTGCCCCTTGGTGGTCAGTGCACTCCCATGGGGGGAGTGCTGCTCAGCCAGAAGCCCTGAGCTGGGCTCACGGCTGGCTAGCACAGCGGCTGTGGTGGGAGCCTCTCCCGCCTCTGAGGCAGCACTAAGGATGTCTGACTGCCGGCTTAGGCTGACATCCCCCGAGGGTTCCCAGGCTGTGAGAGGGTGCAGGCTGGGCTGAGGGAACCCTCCCCCCCCCAAGTGCATGAATTTCGTGCACTGTGCCTCTAGTAGTGCTTATAATACACCAGGCATTGTCCTAAGAGCTTTGCGTGTATTTATCCTCAGAACAACCCTATAAGGTCAATACTATTTTTATCCTCATTTGACAGATGAGTAAACTGAGGCACAGAGATGTTAAGTTGCTCACTCCAAGTCACACAACTAGTTAGGTAGCGGAGCCAAGATTCAGTTTCAAGCAACTTGACCCCAGAGTCTGCTTTTATCAACTATGTTTTTATTTATAAGAAAAGAGAGGAATATTACATTCATTTCTGGTTAGGTATAGGCTATAAAATATTACACAAATTTAAGGCAAGAAGTATTAAAGAAGGAAAACAATAAAAGATCAAGTCAATAGGAAGACATAAACATCTTAAATATGTATGCACCTTATAACATAGCTATGAAATGGATAAAGCAAAGATTGACAGAGGTAGACATGGACAAATTCACAGTAACAGCTGGAGATCTAAACACACTTCTCTTAATACATATTAGAATCAGCAGACAAAAAGTCAGCAAGTACATACAAGAGTTGAACCATACTCTTAAGTCAACATATTTAACCTAATTGACATTCATAGAATACTATCCTCAACAACTGCAGAATGCATCTTTTGAAGTCCCCATGACACGTTCACCAACGTCAGTCACATTCGGGGCCATACAGGCTAAGATTCAACAAATTTCAAAGGATTGAAATCAGGTATATTCTCTGTCCCAGTGGAATTAAGACATGAATAACAAAAGATAGGAAAATCTCCAAATGTATTATTACTAATACAATTCTAAGTAACCCAAAGTTCAAAAGAGAAATCATAGTGGAAATTAGAAAATGTTTTAAACGAAATGATAATTAAATTGCAACAAATCAAAAAGTGTGGGATGTAGCTAAAGCAGTGCTTGGAGGGAGAGTCATAGCAAGTATATCAGAAAAAAAGTTTGAAAATCCATCATTTAAGTTTTCATCTCAAGAAGCTGGGAAAAAATCAGCAAATTCAGCTCAGAGAAAGTTAAAAAAAAGATGTAGGCTGAAATCAATGAAATAGAAAACAGGCATATAATAAAACCAACAGAAACAGAAGTTGATTCTTTGAAGGCATTGATTGCAGCTAAGTATAAGATTGCAACTCAATAAATTTCTTTCCTCCTCCTCTCCCTGCCATCTACTAAATTCTGAGTTAGGAAATCCATTGTCTGCAGAGTGGGACTTTTTCTTTAAGTCCTCCCACAGCAATACTTTATACCACTATCAGGATTAGTTTGTCAATTCCCTTTTCAACTTTGAGTCTCTGCAAATTCTTTTCTAACTGTTCTCCTGTCTCTGTTTGTTCCATGCTAAGCAGATGGCCCAGAAATTAGCCAAAAGCAGGAAGAAGGTGCAGTACAAACAACTTCATCAGCTTGGTGTTATGCCTGTTCTTTCCATTTATTTATGTTTTCCCTTTTTATTATTTCGTGTTTTTGTTTTCTGCATCCAGCAAGTTTTTGTTCAGATTTCTTTTTGAACCGCCCCATAAGCCAACGTTTCTCAAAACTCAGTTGCCTAAAGTGGCTGTTTTCTGTTGCTCATGAGTCATTTCACGTGAGAGGAACGGCAGGGAGCAGATTGGAGATGCTACATGAGTCCTACACTCGTGTGAAAGTTCCCACCATTCAGGCATTAATGTGGCAGGGACTTGGGTCTGTCCAATGATAGTCATGTTTGATTTTCAGACTTGTCAGATTGCTGGATGCAAAAAAGAAAACTCGCTAATAACCACGCGTGTGCGGAGTTAAGCCTTAAATGAGCCAGACGGGTGCGCTTTTTATGGCTGTGGAGCTTCTGGATGCTTCTGAGCTACCCATGGGACATGGACGCATTGGGCTCTTTCTGAATGGGGTGGGTTCAGGGTGCTGCTTCTGTGTTGCTGTGTCGGGTTGTGAACACAAAGACCCTCTGACCAGAACTGCATTCAGATGACTTCCTTTGCACCTGCTGTAAACATCGTCCCCGTCCCGTGAGCAGGGGCAGACTGGTTTCGCCACGTTCCTCTGGTGGCAAGTCAGTGGCCCTTCTTCCTTTGAGATGTTGGGCTCCAGCAGCCTTAGAAAGGGCCACTGGCAACCCTCGTTCCCAGAGCCAAACCCCTACAGGACGTCACTGCTTCTAGAGTGGAAGCAGCAAAGGGGATTCTATGTTCTTCCTTGGAACCTGCAAATGCTAACTCTCACTCACGTGCCCATCCTCTGAGGTAACTTCAGCTCTGACAACCTAATTCTGGAGTCTGCACTGCTGTTCTGGTGACTGTGTCTCGATGCCTGTGTATGAGCTCCCCTTGCTTCCATCTCCGGGGCCAGAGGAATGTACTAAGCTCTCTCTCGGTGCATGTTTCTTCTCAGGCTCCGGAAGGCGAGTCTCAGCCAATGACCGAAGTGGATCTCTTCATTTCTACGCAGAGAATCAAAGTATTGAACGCTGACACACAGGTATGAGCTGGCTCCCACCTTTCCCGAGGGTCAAGCTCAGCAGCATGGCAATGCAGAGACCGTACCCCTGTCCATAGAGCAGCTGTCCCCAGACGCTGGCTTCTATACACGCTAGAAGGCTGTGTCTGCAATGCCTGCTTGGGGTGGGGTGCACTGCACAGGGAGCCTTGGGACTGTTTTCTTAAAGACAAAAGGAAAAAAGAAACTGAACATTGTTTGATAATAGTTCTCATAAGTTTTTATCAGAAGATTTGTGACCTTGAACAGATTAGCTTTTTAAAAATCTTTTTTTTTAATCACACACACACACACACACACACACACACACAATGCAACCATCACATGCAGATTTTTTAAATCTCTGTTTCATTTTTACCTTCCCCACCAGAGAGTCTAGTAGTTGTAAAATGATGGAAATTTCTCACCTGCCACAGGCCTCCTGGGTTATTCTTAGCCCAGGGAATTGGCCCCAGGCGGGTGGGTGCACAGACATCTGCTCGCAGGGTCTTTGCTGTGAGCACCAGAGCCCCCTGCATGTGGCGCCCACGTGGCTGGTTGGGGGGAGACAGACTTTCCCAGGGGTCATTGGATGCTGCCCGATTTACCGCCCTCTCCCTTCCCATCCAGGAGACGATGATGGACCACCCTCTGAGGACCATTTCCTACATCGCAGACATCGGGAACATCGTCGTGCTGATGGCCCGCAGGCGGATGCCACGCTCCAACTCCCAGGAGAACGTGGAGGCCTCGCACCCGTCCCAGGATGGGAAAAGGCAGTACAAGATGATCTGCCACGTCTTCGAATCTGAGGACGTAAGGGTGCTTCCCCCATCTCCCTCCAGGGACCCGAACTGCCTTTGGGGGGCCAGATTCTCTATTTCTCAGGACCTGATCACATGTGTGAACATATTAATTGAGTACCTACTGTGCGTTACTCGGCCTTCTACCCCCATTCCAGTGCTAGGCACAGAAGGCTGGATAAAACAGACTAGGTACTCCTGAGGGGTGTAGGGAGACAGAAGATAAATAGATAAATATACTTAATACAAAATTAGGTAGCGGGAAGTTTGATAAAGAAAAATTAAAACTAGGTCAGGATAGAGGGCCAGAGGCTGTTTCAGATGGAATGATCAACTAAGTTCTCCCTGAGTGGGGAGATCGGACAGAGATCTGAATAACGAGAGTGAGGAGAGAGCACGTGCAGAGGCCTGAGGCAGGGGCCTGCTGAGGCAGCTTGAAGAAATGCAAGGAGCCCAAATTGCCTAAGAGCTTACACGAGAGACGCGAGGGAGGTGTTCAGCCCGACCCATGGAGGCCTGAGCGGGTCTCACCTGGGCAACAGGGCATTCGGGAATAAAGTTCTTGGCCGTGTGGGCTACCCTGGAGGCTACTGGAACATTACGATCCCTGCTCACCTTCAGTCCTGATGAAAACCTGCTGCTCCTGCGGTCAGAAGCCGCCTGACCCCCATCTCTCCAGCTGATGCAGTAAACAGAGAAAACGAATGTTCAACAGAGATGGGGCCCATCCTCCCATTCAGTCCTCTTCCCCGGGTGTGACTGGAAGCGCTGGTGAGGCCACCAGCTTCCAGCTGCATTAGCATCCAAGTGTCTCCAAGGCTGGGCAGGCCGTGGAAGCTGCCCCCGGGACGGCCACAGCCCCACCGTGGTTTTGAACTGCGGAGACCTAAGCCGGCCATGATGGTGCCGTTGACTGTGCTGTTTTACCTCCTGCCACAGTGAAGCAAGCTCTGTGTCTCCTGTTGAGCAGAGAGAGCCCTTTCTACTTAAAGAAAACCTGTGGCAACCTTGGCTCCTTAAAGAAGCCGTTTTTCCTGCATGAACATGCTCCTCTACTGCAGTAATTTGCCTTCCTCCAACAAGCTGGGCAGAAGCAAGCCGCTTTCCCTCGGGGAATCGAAGCTGCCCTGCTGTAGCCCGGGGAGGAGGAGCCCTCACACTTTCTGCACCATCCTCACTGTCTGGTTCTCTGGACAAGTCGCCCACCAGGCAGCGAGCTTGCAGCGCGTGTCCCCGCCATTCTCCCTGCTATGCCTTTCACACTGAGGCCAGACTCGCACACTGGGAGTCAATGAGCTTCGGCAGGTTCTCAGAAAGTTCCCAAAGCGTCCGGTTTAGAACCGTAAGCCTCGTGTGTCCTGCAGGCCAGTGAAAAGGTGGGTTAGCTCTGCTCACAGGGCCAAAGGCCCCCGTACGCACATACTGGTACGTACGTGTGAGGAGCCCTCTGCCACCTTCATCTGGCTGGGAGCCCCATGGCTTTCTTTCCCTTGGGCTTCCTGTCAGGGAGGATGATGACAGGGAAGAATGTGAGCAGGAGTTAGGACAAGCGCGGACCTGGGAATCTGACCCGTGGCTTTTTAGCACAGGACCTGGGAGAGCTCGAGGGCGAATCCTGCCTCCAGGTACCGGCTGTGTGGCCGCTGAGCTTCTGCAGGAGACTGTGTCCCCTCGCTGGGCTGCTGTGTGACTGTGGTAGATGCTGCAGAAATACCGCAGCCCGTGTGTTCGCACGTGCATCCATGCATGGAGGTCAGCACGCGGCTGGCCGTGTTCCCAGGCACACAGTGTTCAGTGCATCTGTCCGCGTGCCTCTGAGCCTGAGGCGTGCCCACTGTCTTCGCTTTTACAGCAGGATGCAGGGTGGTGGTCCTTGATGGGCTGTGGCACGAAGCCACCAGATTCTCAGAGAGAAAAGCCAAGCATTTCTTCCCCACGGCCAGCCACACAGAAGGCACTGCCATCTCTGTTAAGTAGCTGCTTTTAAGCAAAAACTGGGGAAAGGAGTAGAGGTTAGAATTGTGTGTTTTAAAACATCACTCTAAAGACTTGGTGGTGGTTTTCTACCCATTCCGATTTCACTGAGAGGCAGTCCCATGTGGTGGGCAGAGGTTGGACTCTGAAATCAGTCTGCCAGGATCCAGCCTCTCCCCACCTTCCACTGCACCCCCTTCCCAGGCCGTGGACAACCTAACCTCTCAACCTCCGTCTCCTGATGTGTCTGAAGGGGACAGTAACAGAGCCACAGTTCCAACGTCTAAAGAGCTCTGACAGACAAAGGGGTTTGGGGAGCCACTTTGCTGATAAACCTGCCCTGACCCACCATGAAATCACTGATAGGGTTTGCCCAGCTGACTGTGAATCTTGTACGTTTTGCTGCAGGAATATTACTGTGTTCATTATAGGACACTTCCCCAGGCCCTAAGAGGGTTATCACACAATATAGGATACATGATCCTGTTACTTTTCTAAAATCCCAAATTTTCTAATTCTGGAGCACAGAGCTGAGGAGGAGGGCCTGTGGACCAGTCATACTCCCACCAGCCATAGGCTTGCCGTGAGGATTTCTGTAATGATCCTCGTGAAGAACTGAGTGCGTGGCAGGCATGTAGGCAGTGCTCGGTTGCTACTGGCTACCCTGAGTCAGAATATGGATGAACTGATGCAGGGAAAGGCTATCACAGCTCAGTGCAGGAGAAGGAGCAGTGGAAGCAGCATCCCATGCTGTGAGCTGTGTGACCTGCAGCAGGTTCCTTTATGTCTCTGAACCTCAGTCTCCCCGCCTGGAAAACGCAGGGTTGGACTAGATCAGGGTTCTCAACAAACGTTTAAATGCCCAGATACTATCCATCCTGAAATGAAATGGAGAGACGATGTAACCTCTCCTTTTGAAAACGTTTTTACAAAATAAAGTATTGCTACCAGTGTAACACTACGGAGAAGCGAAGGGACCCAGGCTCAGTTAGCATTGCACTTATCACAATATGTGAATGCCTGGCTCCAGCCGTTCCAGAAGGAATAGTGGGTCAGGAGGTGCTTGCACCTACGTGATCAGTGAGTTTGGGTGTGAGAGCACCGTCCTCGGCTGAATATCGTAAACACTCTGTATCTGACATTTTGAATTAAGGTAACTAAGGAAATAGGTAAGTGGACAGACACAGACACACGGGCAGGCAGAGTTACCCCCCAGGCCAGCCTGTGTGCAGCCGACAGGGATGTGATTCATTGGCCGCCCAGATACCATGAGCAGTATTAATGCTGGTGAGTTTCCAAAGTCATGACGCTTACTCCTTGTAAAGTGCTGGCCTAACGAAATCTCACTCTCAGTTTACAGAGTGCTTGTGTTCTTGGAACATCCAATGTGTATAATTGATGTCTTTGTTTTTTATATAACGTTGAGTTGAGTCCTGATTCAGATGGTTAGAAACAGGGTTACATGTAACGAACATCCAGTGGGATATTTGAAAATCATGTAATAAGAGGTCGAATGACTCATCCGTGTGTAGGACTGTCCACGGTTGTAAGTCCAGTGTCTCTGACTCCTGTCTCCCAATTGCCCGTAGCTCCCTTGTGACTGTTGTCAAAACCAAAAATGTCCCCACTGGCCTAGCGGATGCCTTGGGCTCCGTAGTCCTGATGTGGCCCAGGCTGTGCCCCAACAGGGCTGCCCTCCTGACCTTCGTCTTCCCTCTCTGGCTGCTGTCTAGGCCCAGCTGATCGCACAGTCCATAGGGCAGGCGTTCAGCGTGGCTTACCAGGAATTCCTCAGGGCCAACGGGATTAACCCTGAGGACCTCAGCCAGAAGGAGTACAGTGACCTGCTCAACACCCAGGACATGTACAACGACGACCTGATCCACTTCTCCAAGTCGGAAAACTGCAAAGATGTAGGTACTTTCCTGGTCGAAGCTCCAGGGAGCCCGGGGGTGGGGGTGGGGGTGGGGGTGGGAGTGGGGGTGGGGGCGGGTAGAGAGCGTGCTGTCAGCAGGACATTGCATGAGGCTCTGTGATGAAAGGCTAGCAGAGGGCTATCACTATGAGCCAGGGCCTCCCGCAATCCTGAGCTAAATTTGGGGTGGGTTCCAGGGGCAGACAGGACCTGCACTCTACCTTACCCAGCCCACAGGTCATATTCCGAAGCACTGGGTGTTGGGACACAATTCAACCCATACCCGGGGTGTCTCCCATTTGGTTCAGCGCAGTTCTCCAGGGAAGGGGCCAATCGTGAGCTTCAGCCGAGGGGGTAGGGGACGCCACCCTGTGAAGGAGGCTCTGTCGGGCCCCGACAGCCACCACTACTGAGCAGGTTTGAGCATATGGGTGTCTGTGAATAGGAATTAATAAATTCACACACACTCTCGTGGGTCTTCCACGAAGTGTCCTAGCCCTTTATGTGTGTCTGCAAACCTCGCCAGCCAGCAGAGCTCCCAAACGAACTGTCCCCTCCGCCCTGCCAAGGAAGGCTACGGACAGTGATGCACACCTACAGCACAGCCTTCCTGTTTGCACTCCCAACCATTTGGTGGTGATGACTTCAGCATCTTTTCTTTTTCTTTCTCTTCAGCTTTCTCCTTGCAGAGAAGTGTCTCTGTAATGTATATGTATTTACTTTTAACTCAAGAATCTTAAATGTTGGAGGGAATTTGTGAAGCATTGTGGAATAGGGGAACCGGCGCATAGAATCCAAAAGCTATTTCTGGAAGCCATAACTCACCACCAAAGCTCTCACCTACACTGTCTCTCCCCCATCCCGCCCTCCCCAGGGACTATAGGAAAAAAAACAGCTCCGTGCCCCCGTGGTTGTATTGCCAAGTAGAAATTGCTGATGTGGAACGAGAATAACAAAGACGGTGTGGGCCCGTGTTAAGTTGTTTCTTGCACACTCCGATGCCATGGAATACGGAGAAGACGGGACCTGTAGGGTTGGAGTCTCGGGGAAATGTCTTTCTGCATTAGCCACGGCAGGAAGAGGGCCAGTGCCCTGGAGGGTTGCTGATTCAGGCTTTCTAAGTGTCTCTCTCCTTTCAGGTCTTCATAGAGAAGCAGAAAGGAGAGATCCTGGGTGTGGTGATCGTGGAGTCCGGCTGGGGCTCCATCCTGCCGACCGTGATCATAGCCAACATGATGCATGGCGGGCCCGCTGAGAAGTCGGGGAAGCTGAATATCGGGGACCAGATCATGTCCATCAACGGCACCAGCCTGGTGGGCCTGCCTCTGTCCACCTGCCAGAGCATCATTAAGGTACCTGGGGATGGGGTCGAGGAAGTCCACTTCTGTGGCAGGCCTGAAGCGTGCCTGCAACTCCGTCATTAATATTCATGAGCATAGTCCCAGTGTCGGGCACTGAGGACACACAGAGACCAAAGGCACGGGCTTGCACTCGGCTGTTTACCATCAAGTTACTATTTATAGACTCCTCCCTGAAATCGTTTTTACATCAAAGATGGGATGGTTGGCTCAGATAACACCGGTGTCTGATACTGTGCCCATCAACAGGCGTCACTAATCAGTCACTGCGCTCTCTCCACTGTCTCAGCAGAATTGTCCTGAGCTCAGTCACCCAGTCACCCCCCGCGCCTCGGGCAGTGGTTCTCAGTGGGGGGCTCTCGAACCCCATCCCTGGGAGACATACAGCAAGGTCTAGAGATAGTTGGGGTTTGTCACAACTAGGGAAGGAGGA